TTGATTACGATGTGCTTTAAAACGATTGGTAATCTTTTTAAATAATTTATCATCAAAGAGGCTTGAGAGAGAGTTCTACGGGACGCAGCACTATATTGAATTTATTTTAGCCCCTTCACTAATGGAAGCTGTTGGTATCGAACTGACACAGAAAGGTCTTTTATTTACTATTTACCTATATTCGGTAGCACTCTACTCCATTACGGATGTTGTATTTACTCTAGGCATTAATAACAGTACAATCATTAGTGTCGTTTATTCTGCGGTTAGTGTAAATTTAGTAGTAGTTTTACCACGGTTTTGCTATGTCCGCCAGTTCACGAACATCAACCGTATAATTTCGGTACACACCGAAGGTTCAAAGCTTTTCTATTATTTATTCTTAACTTACGGCTGCCCGTGACTTCGCCCGCGTTAACTTTAGTTTTTTGATAATCCCACTGGAACCTAACATTTTCCGGGATAAAAAGTAACCTGTCTCACTTTATATGCGCACCAAATTTCATCCAAATTCATTCAGTAGTTTTTGCATATATGAGTAACAGACTTCCACATCTATAATAACGGTAGGAGTAGATTTTAGATGATATAACTTAATAATTATTATTATTTATGAATAATAATTTGTCTAGTTCATAAAAATATGGCACTTACAGTATGGCGTTAAAAGGATCACAACATGTCTCACCCAACTATTTTTTTGCTAGACACACAGAACAGATATATTTTTAGCTCTGTGGCTAAACAACAAAATATTTAAAACATAAAAGTCATTCCAATATTAGGAATCTATTTTAATCGCATCATATCTTCAATTGGTTTATTATTTATAAGTGAGTTTTACTTGTACCTTCTTGAGTTTTGTTATTTAACTGAATGGGAAAGCGTATCGATCTTTATTCGATTCTACATGCGGCGACGCTGGCTGCAAGACCGTGGCATTAATATATAAATTAAACTACGAGTACTAACACATAAATGGCTAAAGTCTTGTCTTGGTAATTCCATTTTGGTAACATTTTTGTATAACTTTAACTATGTGCTAATGCAGTTATATGGCGTAAAAGTAAAAAGTATTCGTGGCGATCCAATTTGTGCATTTTGTCACATGTGACACGATTCACAAAAGGTATGGTATGAAGTGTTCGGAGTGACACAAGCGCAAAGACTAATTTCACCGCACTCCATGGTATCGTTGCGGCGTTTTTGTTCGTTTGTGCGTACGAGCACAAAATAGACAGTGCAGTACCCTTAGTACGAGTTTAACAATTACGAAAACAATGATAGTTTTCGTAAGCTTGCACTCGTACTAAGGGTACTGATTTTATTGTTTTCGTTTCAATACAAATAAACAGTGCTTATTCTATCATTAATTCATTTGCGTCTTCATGAATTTTAAGTATATTTGGTTACTTTTCACCGAAATGGACATAGAACATAATTTACAATTACGAAAACTATGATAGTTTTCGTGAGCCCAAACTCGTACTAAGGGTACAGAAGGTAATCTATATAAAAAGTGCGCTCGAGCAAAGCACACATATACACCGTTCACTGACACGATATCTCGGAAAAGTCGGGGAGCGCGAGTACCATCTGCTTGAGATACGCTTCTGTGAATTTTATTTGTGCAAATGTGGAACAACAAATATGTTTATTATATATGTTCAGTATTTAACGGTGAATTATAATTTGTAATATAACAAAAGCATTAAAAATAAATTATTTTAGTTAGTATTGGTTTATATTTCATTCTCGAAAATAACTCAAACACCTGAGTGTGTCTGGTAAGGTCCACTACTTCCACGAGAGTTTTTTGTGAATTAGCAGAAGTTAACAATCCTACCTAGGATTGTTTATTGCGAAGTGAAGTACATACATGAGATTACCTACTGTACTATCTATTTTGTGGTACGTGGGTACGAGCCTTAGCAGTGATCGCTACGTGGTGATGTGTTGCCTAAAAACGATATGACATCGCGCCGCGTGGAAAATTCCTTTGTAGCAATTTCTGTTCTTTTGCTTCTTCACACATCGGTATGTTCTGTTTTTATATTTCCCGAGACATTTTACTATGTCATGATACTGCTATGAGAGTTTCGTTTAGGTAGGTAGTATTTAAAAGGTCATATCACATACTAAATGTGTCTGTCTTTATAATATGCATAGTGAACCGTGTTACTTATCACAAAAAATATTTAGATACGAAACTATATTTAGGCTAACATTACATTTCGAAAAGTAACTTTATTTTTTGACTGGCTATACTTGAAATTTCTTCGGGACTTCTATTTAATAAGGTATCTATACATTTACACGTTTAAACACGTGAGTGTAAAAAGTAGAAGTATTATATATAAAAAACTAGGGATCGACCAATTTTTGCAGGGACGCCATACGATGAGTAAAACCAAATATTTTTTAATTTTCTCCGTACCTATATCATGTTCTGTTTGATCTAGAGCAGATAGTAAAAGAAATCGGTCCCGTCATGTTACGTAACGTGTATAGAATATACCATTATAATTGACAAGAATAGCATCCATCACAATTCGACAGCTAGCTATCCAGAAGCTACCGCGCATTGAACGAAAATAAACAATACTTCTGTTTATCCAACCGACCGCGCCGCGTTTCGGTACACTTTCAGTTTTCTAATATTTCTTACCTTAGAAATAAATAATTTAAAGTTTCATACGTTTCTTGCGATGAGTTCCGATGGAATTGAGATATTCATAGATATTTAAGCACACTGAATTATTAGATAATAAGGTAGGTATAGCTTATTCTCCGTAGCAGTAATGACGCTTTGATGAGTGAGAGAGAGAGAAACATTTTATTGACCACATTACATCACAAAAAATATACAAAAATAACATTTTGAAAATTATAGGTAATAAAAAACAGATTAATTAGATTATCATTTGTGGTCAATCAGGACCCTGTCTCAGCATAATGCTGCTACAACACGCCACAAAACGTGTCAACGTCACGTCAGCAGTCCAGCAGCAGCACCAACCATACCCCGATCGTGAGCCGCCAAGAGATGGTCCACTACGTCAGCCAATGCGGTTGTTGTGCCGCGACCCTTTCGAAAACCTGACTGGAGCTGTGGCAATAAGTCATGGCTCCCAATTTCCAGAATCTTGGACAAGCTGGGAAGTAGGCTTATTGGTCTAAGATCATTTAAAGGGCTCTGTGTTTTTGGGCAACGGTTTTATAACAGCGTGCTTCCAAGTCTCTGGAAATGTGCTTTCACTTAGAGATCTATTTATTATACTTGTGATTGCTTCTAAGGACTGAGGCAAAGTGAGACGCATCATTTCCAGTGAGATGCGGTCATGCTCCTATGCAGTGGAGAGCGAGTCCTCTAATAGAAATAAATAATTATTCAGTGAACCATGCTAACAAAGTCCTCATATCTATTATCCGCCGGATGTCCGTTATGCATTTTCCTATTTCACCTTTTACAAGCAAATAATGTTGCATGTTGTGTCTGCGATACAATAATGGATTCCACAACTAACTTTTGAAATGCAAAATGTAAAAGATCTTGCCTACTGCAGTTTTATGTGATTCGATTATACGTAGAACAATGTTAATGTTATTAATTAACATTAAGTGAGTCCTGTATAAAACAAACTAATGATTTTAAATAAATAACATGTATTAACATAGTCGCTTGAAAACTAGAAGATCATTGAGATTAGGGATTGTAGTCCCGCAATATAATATCAATCCAGGTATTCTTACAACGGAAAACTATTAATGCTGGATTCAGGTATTTACGGGATCCAGTACGGTGGATTTAAACTTTTGATTTCATTAAGTAAGTAATACCCATTTATAACACGTTAAAACGTCAAAATCATTGAAAAATCCAAGCCAATGAAAAGGACAATAATGTCTACAGTGCGCCGAGTGAAGAGTATCTATGAATCACGCTTTTCTGTAATCCCGCCAGTCCAGCGGGATTCCGCAAATTTTTAGGACGAGATTGGTCCCGCAAAATTTATGCGGGATCCCGGTATTGCATACCTTAATTGAGATTTATCTGAGATGAGATTAATTCAGTGTAAACTATATTTTTAGTTATCGACATTTCTTAAACTTATTTTTTATAGTAAAGGTAAATCTTTACTCTGCGCCATACAATATTGAATACCTGTAACATAGAACGGTATAAACTTTTGTTCAGTTTTAAGTGAAGTGCCATTAAAATAAAGAACACTTACTACAAGTTGTATGTTAAATTGTAGGAATATAGAAAAAGTGTTCGCTCCTAGTATTATCAACAGTCTCTAGGACGATGCAAATTGTAGCGAAGCCTAGATAATGAGAAGCCTTAGTAGATACTATACCGTGGGTAATGTATATAATTTCAAACCCCACTAACAAGTTCCCCAATTATTATTTTTCATAGTATTAATCTAATTTCTATTAAATGCAAAAACATGGAATATAATATATGCTTTGAATATTTCTTGGATTATCTTATTTAGATACACATCAAAGTAGCAAGAAAATTATAAGTTATATCTATTTTTGTATACTTTATCAATCAGCTAGTTTTATATGTTTCTTACTACTAAAACAATAACTATAGGGCCCGTCATGATCTTAACAGTTGAACTTGATAAAGTTTCTTTTGTATGAACTAGAAGCCACCTTTTGGCCCTTATTCAAAAACCAGCCCTCTCATCAATAATTACTTACTGGGCCGGGTTGTCTCATTTATAGTTAAATTCGATTATAGTTAATTTTATGTCAAATACTTACATACAATAGTAAACGTGTCAAATTTGGACAAATGGTTATTCTTTTCTATAGGATTTAACTAAAGCCAAATTTTAGTATCGATGAAATAACGCGGCCTTCGTAATAGTTAATCGACAGACTACACAGCATTACAAGTTACATAACAATGTTAAGACCATAATTTAGATGTAAGTTGCTATATTTAATACGGATGTGATTAACCTCCAATTTCTTTTGTTGCAGGAAATTCTATAACCAGCGACGATGACTTAGATCTGAAAGCCCCGCCGCCATTCTTCCACGAACCAATTCGACAGGAGCTGGTACGCGTTTGACTAAATATTTATTCCCTGTTCAAATCAATTTTTTTTGTGTTGGTCACCCTCGTGAACTTCGTATGTTACAAGGACTCGCTAATTAATTGTTTTCATCATTTATCAAGTAGATTATTATTTATCGAAAAGGATTGCACTCTTATTTTTTCTTTTTTCACACTATCAAAATATCAAAGCGACATTTTGATTTGAAATCTCGCATGACGTCACGTCTTGGTACAATTTTTACTTAGAACTGATGGCCTAGCCCCGACTCTCAAACTTTGATTTATTTAATGTCAATGTTAACAGGCACACATATAAAAAGTGTTCCTTATTTCCATTTATTTACTTGCGGATATAAAATCGAGCACTTCTGAAATCACGTCTGCAAATTATTGAATATTTGTTATGTATGTACCCATTTTAATGTTTTGTGAAAATTTATATGTATTACGTCATTTTCTTTATAGGCAAACCACGAAAAGTGCACCACATTAAAAGAAAGCGCGGCTGAAATAGACACCGTCTCCATTTATCCGAGTTTCGAATTCCAGGTAAGTTTCATATCGATAACGCCGGCAAAGTTAGATGAGAAGTCTTATGATGTTCGAAAGCATACCTTATTATGTTTATTTTACTATTTTTAGGCATCATATTTAATATCGTTATCATAGTTTCATGGATGGTTTGTACATGGATAATAGCTTTTTATTTTATTTAATAAGTTTTTACCTTCTAACAAATATTAACTTATGTATTTTATTTAAAGTTATATAGTAAGAGCAATTAAAAGATTTTAGATGGAATTTGTAGTTTGAAATATGTTCAACCTTTTTTTAAACCCAATGGTCGTCCATATAATGGCCTGCGCAGACGAAGGCTTTTTGTCAGCGGAGGAAAAGTCCTTGAATCGTGAAAAAAATATCCATCGCGGGCTTGTCACGGTCCAAACGCACACGATGTGCGTACATTGATCTCTCGAGAAAAGCGCATGCTATGGAAGTGAATATATTTTCAGAAAAAGTTTAAGAAAAAGAGAAGAAGTTTTAAAAGAATACTGACTCCATCTCTTTAAATCGGATAGAGCGCGCAACACGGACTAATGAATACTGTGTTCGTTGCTGCGCTAAAAGGCCATGTCAAATGAGTTCTATTTTTTTTGGGGACAACCGCGTACTTTAGTCCTGTCCCAACTTACTTTAGGCCAATCGCCTAACGGGATTGCTATATATATTGCTATGGCTATCGCTACCGATTTCATTTTGAATTTCTTACCGCCGAAGATTTTCAAATGCAGCGCGTTTTTTTTTCTTTTGCATTGGTAATAACAATATTAAAGAAAATGAGCGATCGCAATCCCGTTAGGCAATCGGCCCCCTGGTCTCTCGGTGATTGTAAGCAATCTATTTTGGCGGACAAAAAAGTTCGCAGACTTATACTATAAAACTTATATTAAGAGAAATCTCACACTCTTCCACGTGTGCTCAATGATACAATAGTTTTTCCTCCATGTATATTAATAGAATAATAATATATAGATATAAATATATTATTATGTTAAGTGGAACTGTGAAAGTACTTGGTATTTTTTCTTTGTGAAGGTTTATCATCCGTATAAGAAATTTTCTATCGCATAATATCAGTAGTGTATTCAGATGGATAGATATCTTACCGCCGTGTATATAATAGAATCTCGAATTCGTGTCGCTCACAAATTGTTGAAAGAAGCCTTGGATGGACATTTCACATTTCGTTGTTAAGGTAAACGTAATACGAATCGAGAACATACACTTTTATATAGAAGCTAAAAAAAAGAAATTTAGTGTTACAGTAGAGCGTAGCAACCTCGCAACAGACCAAATACAGACGTATTTAATTTGTTGAGCGATTTAGGTACTTTATTAGTTGAGAAAGCAGTGCGTTGTTATCATCTTTTTTAACTTAATAGTTTTTGCATTAGATGGATAGATAGAATAGACATTGCATGTCGCATTACATTTTTAATTATTAATAAAATAAATCAGACCTTATCAATAAACATCGGTGGTTCAGTATCATGAAGGAGGTCACCTCCATGCCCAAGAGTCGCGACAGCATTGCCGTGTCGATATCCATCCCCGTCTGCTCGCAGGGATTGCTCGTGTGAGTATACCCGTAACATAGTATACCATTGTAGATACAAATGTTTTCGCAGCCGTGTTAGGACCTTTTCTTAATGATTTTAAAAGTTTCACTTGCATCGTGGTTTTTATAAATCCACACCAAGTTTATTACAGCTTTTCACTAAACCGCGTTATATGTTACGACGAGATTAAACCTACATTAAAAAAAGGGTAAATTTAAAAAATCAAAAAACCAGCAGTGCAATCATGGCAATTATTTTCCATTTTTTTTTGTTTTTTAAAATACCGAATAACGTATCACTGTTAAGCACAAATGCTAAGTAACTTTTACAAATATAATCAAATAAACCTATTACTTACTTTATTTTTAAATCTTTTTCATCAATTAAATACTTATCTTATCCTAACTATCTATACTAATATTATAAAGAGGCAAGATTTGTATGTTTGTTACAAACATACAAATCTTGCTTCTAATCTGTCAAACTACTGAACCGGTTTCAAATATTAATTCATCATAAGGTAGCTACATTATTTAATATAACATTTTTATTTAAATACATTTTGTCCGAGTGACATAGGCTATGTTTTATCCCGATAAATAAATTTCGCCCGTACAATGCCCGGGTGGATCACTAGTAAGTATAATATAATATTATAGATGCGAAAGTGAGTTTGTTTGTTGCGCTTCCGTGCCCTAATAGCTAAATCGAATATAATGAATTCCCATATAGAAGTAGATGGGAACTTGTTTCTTAGCTACAACATCGCAATACTTATAGGCGTAGGGTGATGAAATGGGTAAAATCTATATTATTTACTTTAAATTTTGCAGAATTATCGTTTATAGGTAATTACAAAACCAATATTATCGCGAGCTGATTAATAAATACAGGGATTCCAATAAGTATGTACCTACTAGCGAAAAATGGATTATTTGTCATTATATTAAGTAAACCTTTTTTGTAACATTAAGTAATATCATTAAAAAAAATTAAAAACAGTAAAATTCTGAGTTTTTCATTAAAATTCAATAATCATAAATACCTATTATGATAATATATTTTTCATCACTTAATAAGAAGGAACTGTATCACAGTTTTATTGTTAGTACTTCGTATAGGATCAGATACTGGGAATACCCCTTTTTTTTCTCTTACATAGTACACCGCGCTATCACTTTGTCATCGTTGTAACTTTTTAAATATTTGTCGAAATGACATAGTATAAAAAGCAAAGTTTATCGCCTTTAAATATCAAAAGCGATAAAATTATCATCATTACGCGCGAGCGCCGTAGCGAACGGACGTGTTTTTGCTCGTTAAAGTATTATAAATTATCATCGACCCGCGCATAAAAAAAAAAAAAAAAGTAAAACATCGTCTGTTTTAGTATTTATAGAATTTTTATTGTGTGCATAAGCAGAAGAAATAAAATGAGTACGAAAGTTCAGCGGTCACCAAATAAGCCACGCTCAGTTCAGACCCTTACTGGTTCGCTCACGGATCTGACCGGCTGCGAATCTGCAGCACCAGACGTCATGATAAAGCGTAAAAGGAAGGAACCTGATTCCAACCACGTTCAGAAGGGAGACTTCGACGAGTTCAAGAAGGAAATTATGTCCTTCCTACACGACCTTCGGAAATCCAACGATGAACTTCTGCTTAATGTAAGGTCAGAAATCTCCGAGATGAAGTCACAGGTAACTTCGGTAACTTCAATTATTAACAATTTATCACAGCAAAATAGCGAATTCAAGCTAGAACTAGCGGAGTTGACCAAATCCATGGATTTTCACGCAAAGTCATTCGATGATATGCGAGAACAGTCGAAGGTTCTATCCAGGGACGTTGCGTATCTTAAGAATATGGATCAAGATATTGAAGCATGCAGACTTCGTTTGTCACAGATAGAACGAGACCTTAATATCCAGCAACAAAGAGAGCGCTTGTATAACCTAGAAATAGTGGGATTCATGGAGAATAAAAATGAGAACCTTACTGAGTGCTTTTTATCAATGTGCAAAGCTTGGGATGCTCCAGTTGTTAAGGAAGATATTTTAAACATTTACCGTGTACCTTCGAAAATTTCCGACAAAAAGTATCCTAAAAATATTATCGTAAAAATGAGGAATCAATTAACAAAAGATTTTATCATATCGGCAGTCCGCAGAAAGAAAGGTCTTACATCTGATGACCTTGGTTTAACTACCTCCGATCCTTGGCGTATCTATATCAATGAGCATTTAACGCCATTTTACAAGATGCTGCATAAGAAGACTCGGGAAGCTGATGCTGGTGCTAACTATCAGCATGTCTGGGTACGCAATGGAAAAATCTTCGTTCGAAAAAACGACACTACGCCTGCACTCAATATAATGGATCTAAAGGATGTGGAGAAGTTGAAATGATCGGTTTGACTGTATTTATCATGATATATAAAATTACTGTTCTCAGGGGAAGCATTCAATGTCTTTTTGAAGTTATATGCGTGTATTATTTGTGTTTACGTTACATATTTTCAGCGTCATGCAAGTTATTATAATTATACGTATTTAAGGTTGTCTACGAATATTGCACAATGTTATTTGACAGACCATTTTAATGTTTATGTTAAGGGAAAACAATTGCCTTGTGTGCTGTTCCGTTTTGGATTGTCCATTCAGGTAAATAATTATTTGCATGTCTCATTTTATTTAGACAGCAACTTACTGAACGAATGTCTACGTTATCTTATAACGGAAGGTTCTTATTTAATCTTTATTTTTACATATTTTAGGAAAAAATCGAATATAGTTAACAGCATTCTAATGAATTTACATATAAACTTTATCTTTCTGACATGGAATCTATCAAAAAATAATGTATTAACCACTAAACTAATATACCTGGGCACTATTTACAATATACTTTATAATTTTTATTTAAACTATTTACTGTCCCTGATAAATAACTTAACAAATGTTAATTTGTTCATCAAAGAATTTTGTGATTTGGTATGGATTGAAATGTTACTAGTCTGCAATGGATCATTTTATCTGGGGTGTAACTGTATAGTGATACCGTGTTGCAACTTTGGTGTCCTTAATGTACTATACTATTGGACTAAACTTTTAAGAACTGGTTTACTAAAACAACAAACAAGTTTAAAATACAAATAAATTACTTTTTAAATGTACCAATTGGTTCAAGTTCATAATATTCACAGTGCATGTACTAATTATTACACAGAGAAAGTTACTGTTAATTTATCTAAATTACCGTGTAATGAGAAGAGGCTTATGTTATTCTATAATTTTGGTTGGATTAATTATGAATTACAGCATGTTATCATATCTATTTCTAAACTATTATTTGTGGATTAGCTCACCAAATATGATGATATTGAGCGGTGAAATAATAAGTACTTATAGCTATTGGTTATCTTATCTA